GTGATAAGCAGCATCCCTGTCTTACACCTCTACCTATCTCAACGCTGTTGGTGTCTCCTGAGTCCAGTCTCACTTTGACTTTTTGCTGCATGTACAGGTTTTTGATTAGTCTTCTATCTCTCCAATCAATTCCAATTCTCTGTAGGATCCTCATTAATTTCTTCCATTTTACTCGATCGAAAGCCTTCTTCCAGTCGATGAAGCAGGCACATACTTCTTCCTTGACATCGAGCACTCTCTCTGAAATTATTCTCATAACTCCGATGGCATCTCTGGTTCCTCTTCCTCTCCTGAATCCAAATTGGTCGTTTCCCATCACTTCCTCTATCTTCTTTTCTAGTCTTTTAGTCAGTATTCTAGTCATTAACTAGGCTAAGAGCAGGTAATTTGTGTACCAGGGAATTTCCAAGTCTGGAAATTCCTAAAACCTCTGTGTTCCAGGTACTTGAAGTATGGCTACATCACTTAGCATTGGCTGTCCACAGTGGATCCCAAGCTTACAATAGTTCTGAATATAAAGGAAATACAAAGGAATCATAAACTAACAAAAGAGAAAGCAGGACAATAAGTGGCTAATACAAAAACCCATATGACCTAGCACATAAATTTGGGTTTCCTAAAAGTATAGAATTAGCATACACCAGTACAGGGATTGATGAGGGGTTACAGCTATTTACCATCAAATGTGCTTTCAATTAATGGTTATTTCTTGATTCCCCTGTATCACTAAAATACATTCACAGCTAAGTTCCAGGACCGACTCAGAGTGAATCCTGTGTCTCTGTTGAAGTTGCAAATATGCAACTGGACCAACATGGCCCCTATCACTTTATGATCCACATAAACTACCATTCAAGCCAGTATTGTGGTATCACCGAAGCTGATATGTATGGTATGTATGTGGTATGTAGATATCATCTACAGTTCACAGAGATGAACAAAGGGGTGTAGCATTTGATTTGCATTCAAATATGGCACAACCACCTTGTCCAGTATTACATCAACGCCTGCTAATGGAGGCAGAGACTGTCTCCGATAATATTACTAAGTAACTCCTTGCACAAGAAGACTTCATTACATCCAGCTGCCATGATAGTTTTGCATCTTATAATAAATTACTTACCATATACCATTTATTTTAGATCCATTTTAATATTATCATCCCATCTATGCCTAGACCACTTCCTTTTAGGTACTCAAACTAAAATTCTGTATACTTTTCTTAAATACCAGATTTATGTTATATGCCCAACATCCTGCCCCAATCTTAATCTGATAACTGCAACAACAGTACAATTATGGATCTCCTCATTAAGCAATTTTTTCCCTTGCTATGAGAGGCAAAGTTTTACATCTGCATAAACATGGATACCATAAAAATGTAATAATTCACATACCAATGATCACTCAAGATGAATTACTTAACCTAACAAAGTATTTTGGCCACCACAATGACCAATAAAATTAAAGGAACTGTGATGGTAGATTTAATTCAACTTCAGCATGTTTTTTTTTTAAAAAAAAAAAACAATTACATAAATTTTCCTTGTAAATACTGTATTAAAATTTGCTTCATACATTAGGATTTGACATGTACATTTTATGCATGTACATTTATTTTTTATATACTGTATACTTTACAAACTTGTTTATAATCTTGAACCTGTAGAACCAATCATCCCAAATAATATTCCAAATAAAAGATGATGCATAAACTTACCTGATCTGTCCCAATTTTTTAACATATGTGTTGCCACACTAAGTCCTCTGTCATATCCAGTTTAACAGGCCAGACACCAACTGTGGCATTCACAAAATGAAATGCCTCATAAGGGTTATGTGCATTGCTTTCTTCATCAACTTCTGGATACACTCCATCCTCTTTAACAGTAATTTCGTCTGCTACTTCTTCTTTAAAACAACTGACATCCTGGATCAAACAGGAAAGAAATTGCCAAATTCCACCCCTTTCTTCATCTGTAAATTCATCTTTTATCTCCATCTTGATAGCAATTTCAAACTGGAGACAAACGAACAGAAAAGTTTAAAAATAAATGTAAAACTTCCTGATGAACAATGACAACTTTCAGTCAGATAAAATGGGATATGCACGCAACTACAAAAATTCTCAACACCATCAACTGTTCTTTAGTACAGGACAAGGTCAAAATCAAGAAAATAGCAGTGTAAGCATAATTTTTGTTAAAGCACAGCACTGACTATGATTAACAATGATCCAAGTAAGGTAAAAATGTTAATTAACTCAAAAAAAATTACAACTGCATTCTATAAAAGTACAGTCATTATAACATTATGCTATTTATTAAGTGAGATGAAATTATTTTTGTTGCAAGCAATAAGATAAAACCTGTCTCCACATATGTCTACAACACAAAATCACACTAAATTAATCTACTTTCTACTCTAGGTTGTGACTCCATGTAGTCTTCTCGGTAATTAATGTTCCTCCGAAACGCTGATAGTCACCTATACGACTACATGGCATCAAAACTTAGAATGGCACAATCAACATCTGCACTCCTGTGGGAATGTCAAACCTCTATAACCATATACACCATGCTAATGAGACAAGGAACACATGTAAACAAAGAGACTTTCCTAACGTTAAATCTGAGGCACCACTTACTACTACCTGCTTTTGAAAATACTTTTGATAACTACACATTAAAGATTGCCGTCGTTAAATACAAAATAACCGAATTAACTAGCATATTTATACATTGGTACAAAGTTATCTATGGATCTTACATGCCTGTTACAATATCTTGTTCTCCAATTCTAATCCCCAAAACTTGCGAACTATGCATTCGTAACTTAATATACTACACAAAAAACACATTTCTAATATTTGCAAACAGGGAGTACTTACAAAGGGGAAATGATGCGGAAAGTTTACAGAGTGAATAAACCACACTAAACGGACTCATCTACGTAAAAATTCAAAACCCTGAATTCCATCCTTGACCACAGATTACAACGCACACCACAGATATCCTATTTATCTACTTATAAACAACCACAGAAGCTCACAAATTGGGCCTAACGTTTTCTTTAGAAAATGTATTGCTCATGCACAGACAGCAATCCAGGTTCGCCTCAGTTCTTCTTTGCTAAAAATTTGCTACTGTGCTTTTCTCTCGCCCAAAAGAAGGTACACCAGAATCATTTAAAGATGCAAGGATAAAATATTTCATGCTCTCGATGAGTTTCTTCTATGGCTCTCCGGTCCACGGCCTCCTCAATGAGTTTGCCCGGGTAATCAATCATATGACGAGCTCTGTAAGTAGGTTACTTACAGGAGTAGCATGAAGTGGCTCATTTGTGGGGCGAAAAATGTTGCTTACTGTTGTAAGGAGGCGCAACGATCACACTCCTGGTAAAGTAGAACTACCATTCCCTATTCTGAGCCAGATAAATACAGTCCAGACCCTCCCACCATACTTCTACAAGTTTGTATGAACTACCACATGTTTAGCAGTACTATCCAAAATACCATTTCTCCTTTGTATGCACAATATGAACAGTGTGCATGTGTAACAATGAGCCACCAACAGGATACTTTTGACCAGAATCACTACTATGAAGTACAGTCACCAAGTAAAATGACATGGACAATAAAGTATATATCTTTCACTTATTTCAAAGAATGGTGTTTATTGTGCCACTCAGAAAAACAAAGCCAACAAATACTTTCATTCAAATGTGACCCCATACAAAGAATTCATATGTAACTACATTACCTGTGGCATGACTTGGTTACAAGTTTGTGCAAACTTGAGTATCAAAATCTTGTCTGATATACATGAATGGGCAAACCAGTGCATGGAATTAATGATGCACTTATGTCTATCAGTAACTGGAAGGATTTATAGTACATCTCACTTGTATGGTGTCCCATCACAAAACATAAATTAACATTTTAAGTTAAATGCACACAAAGAAAGCAAACATACTGAAAACTATATACTAAAACAGTACATTGTGCAACGTATAATACTGAACAGCATACAATATTAAAGGAATGTATTAACTAATGATATGAACTAGGTGGTGAATTACATGGCCATACATGAGAATGCTACTTCCAAAACAAACTTGAAACATTTCACTGAATTTAAGCAAACATCAGGAAAGTCTTGCAACCATTATCAAGGTAAAATATTCTATTAAGACATCCTTACTCCACTCTACTATTGGATGGAATGACTGACATTCAACATACAGCAGACTCCTGATTATCCAGGTTGGTTGGAAAATATATTTTCCAGAATAATCAAAATTCCAGATAATCCACAAAAATGAAAGAAAAACATGCAAATGCATCAAATACATAAGTTTATTCACAGCCATAAACTACTTGCACTTTTTAAAGATTTACTACTAACAGAAAGGATTTTATACTAAATTTAATACAGTACACATCAACTATTTTTAAAAATGGATTCCAATGGATAGTGATAACATCCTATTATTGTAAGCTTTGGGTTTTAGCAACAATTAATTTAAGTTAGTACATTAAATACTCACTGTTATATTTATTCCTTTCTTTTTAAACATTCTAACTTTTGCAATACTTTATTTTGATACTTTGACGACCTGTTCTTCAAGTGGCTGAGAACTGCGGGTCCCGACTTTTCGTTGGCTCTGATCTATAGACATTCGGTAGAACTCCTTGGATGTGGGATCGGCCCAACTTTTACAATAAATTTTCTAAATTAATTCAAGGCAACACCCATCAGTCAAACATAAAATACATGTCAGTAAACAGGAAAGGAAGGGTCTACATCCTTAGCCCAGCTGTGAAGACCACCAATAATATCTCTCACAGAAACACGAAGACCATGCAATGCTTTACGGAGTGCCAAAACCCCCTTCTGGGAGTCATTGCCACGACGACAGACTACAAATACTGGGAAGTCATTATCACTAGAGCACTTCTCTGCAATGGATTCTTTCAACTGCTGTATAACTTGTTCTAATACCAAGTCTTTCAATGGCACATTCAGTGACTTTGGTAGGTGGCAAATTTCAAACTCCAAAGGTGATCGTACATCAATCAGAATGTGTGGTTGAGTGCATAGACCATGATACACCTCTGCTTGAATCCTGTCTGTATCATCAAGAAGATGAATTTTAGTGTGTTTGTCATTAGCCATGGCGCCACAGAAGTGCTCATAATCCACCAGGGCTGTAACAGAGGGCTGATTACCACAGACACAACAGGATGGAATCCTGTCACGGAGACAAACATTTCGAAATGAGCAATCAGAACCATCAAATAACAACAGTCTCTTAGATAGAACTCCTTTGTGACCCAACAATATCTTCACAGTCTCAAGAGCCTGCAGTACTCCTATAACACCTGGAACAGCTCCTAATACTCCTCCATCCCCACAATTTGTGACAGTTTCAGGTGGTGGAGGAACAGGAAATAAGCAACGATAGCATGGTCCATTACTGTAATTGTACACTGAGAGTTGGCCTTCCAGCTTAAGAGCACTTCCAGATACAAGAGGGCGACTAGTCAGAACACATGCATCATTGAGTAGGTACCTAGTTGCCACATTATCTGTTGCATCTATCACTACATCATATTTTCTTACTGTGTTCAATGCATTGGACCTATCCATTTTCATGTCATATGGTATAATCTGTACAAAACTGTTCAGTCTATTTAGAGATTCAACTGCAGAAAATACCTTGGGTTGGCCTGCACTTGTTTCAGGATGAAGCAACTGGCGATGCAAGTTGTTCAGTTTTACCTTATCATAGTCAACTATTCCAATACGACCTATTCCTGCTCCTGTCAAGTATAAGGCAGATGGACAACCCAGTCCCCCAGCTCCAACAATCAACACTGATGATTTTTTTAAGGTCTGCTGACCTTTCATTCCAATTTCTGGCATGATGATCTGCCTACTGTATTTGTCAATTTCTATATTTGTTAATTTTTCAGGTCCACTTTCAGTTTCTTCATACTTCTGATTCAGATGCTTCCTCAACATAGCTTCCTTCTGTGTTAATTTCTTCTTTAAATCCACTATCTCCTCCAAGAGCGACTCGGCGGTTTCCATTGTGAACCAGGGCCTACCAAATACAAGTACCAACCACAATCTTACCTTAAATGCAAGCAGATGCGGTCAAATTGATACAAGCAACTACACCGCGGATCCCTATACAGAAGTTTCTAAGATTCCAACATCATATTAAAAACAGTATTACGTATGATGCTTCTATCAGCGCTGGAATCTTTATTAGACACTTCTGTATCCAAGGAGATTAAAGGAGCAACATGAAAATAATTTTCCGTCATAAATCTGGCTCCCGACTTTTTTTATAACTAAAACAAACACCAACTACAACGCAACATCAACCTCGAAATCTATCTACTAATGCTGCCAACAATAGAATACAAAATAGATTAAAACCATTCTCAGTATTATCTGTTTCTCAACAACCCGTTACTCCGTACAGGTTTATTTAGAAAATGCACGTCAGAAGACAAAACATTCCTTCAACCAATTAACTGTTAAACTATCTGAGCTATTGACAGGTATTGGTGTATAGATATTGGTAATCCTTGACAAACAGCATATGTAAAATGTCTAGGCAAGGGACACGATTGGATTCGAAAAAAGTTGTAAGTATAATTGTATTCTTTATTTATGAATTACTGTCAGCGTCATCAATAGGTAAAACATCGTAAAGCATCGCTAATAGTATGACGTTACAAGTCATTGTTTTCAATATGTTTAGGTTAGGTATGTACGTTAATTTATAGTTGTTAGGGGTCTGATTAAGTACAGGTATCACTACCATCCTTGAGAAGTCTATAGCTAATAAAAACATTCGCATCGTACCTTATGTATTCCTAAGGTTTGTTACCGTGCTTAAAAAAACTTGCCACTAGACCGTACATAGAGTAATTTGAATCCAGTCCACATCCTCACACCGTATTTCTGATACACATAAATATTATCCTTCAATCGACACCAAGATCTCCCAGTGTTCCTTACATTTCGGTTTAATGGCCACAATTTCAGTTCCCACAGTGCCCCCCTTTTTTGTTATGAGGTTAGTTGCTGGGCTCTGAGCTGTATTCTGCAGTTCAACCTTAAAAAAAGGTATGTAAGTAAATATTTCAAGAAGAAATAAATACACGTCATGTCAGTTTTTGAAGTAGTATCATTTCAGCAGTCTCATCTGAAATTTAAATGATATAACTAGTATTGCACTGCCAGGTGACTAGTCACATTCAAAGTCACCATAAAGTCCTCAGTGATAACACAAAATGCAAACTGTGTGAAGTCAACCAATACTTTATAATTAATTCTTCATGCTAATTTTTTTTCCAGAATTCAGAGTTATTCACTCTTACGTATGGTGCTCTAGTTTCACAACTTTTGAAAGACTATGAAAATGTGGATGATGTTAACAAACAACTTGAAAGAATGGGATACAATATTGGCATAAGATTAATAGAGGACTTCTTAGCACGAACCAGTTCTGGGCGATGTTATGATTTCAGAGATACTGCTGATAAAATCCAGGTAAAATAAGATAATTTGCATTGCATTAACATACCATTAAGACCAGACTTAATGCCTTCAGCACCATAATAAAGGATTTAAATCCCCTATTCCTATATGATGTTGAATGTACTTTATTTCGTCACCACATAATCTCCGATACATTACCATTATTAAATAACCAACTCAAATTTTTCAGTACTAAGGTACTCAGTTGTTATGTGGAGTATTGGCTATCCTGATTGGGATATTTTGTTTTTCTTCAGTCCTTCCAGGCGAATGCTAGATTATTGCCTGAAATAAACAACAACCTCATTGAACATAGTCATTCTTTTATCTTATTTGATACTAAATAATTTAACAGTCTAAGAGGAAGTATTATTTTTGTGACCTTGAAAAATTGCCGGCAGAACTGTTCCAGGACCAGAATACAGTCACACATAAAAAACTTCTTTTGTTCCAGATGGGTTTCCGATTATTTCTTGGTGTGACTCCTTCAATAACAAATTGGAGTCCTGCTGGTGATGAATTTTCTCTTCATTTTGAGACGAACCCCTTAACAGAGTTTGTTGAACTTCCTGACCATTGCCTAAACCTGAAATATGCGAATGTCTTAACAGGAGTCATAAGAGGAGCATGTGAGATGGTACTGAAGTACATATATATAAAATAAAATTTTAATCTATGTGTAAATATAGCAGTCGTGGCTGATTTTGTCTACTAAACTAAGTGACAGGAAAGCTCAGAGTTACTTGTCAGTCCAAGCAGCAGTGATTCATGTACATTCACTTCAAAGGAAGATGGCCATAGTAATGTTGCACAAAGAAAGAAATCTTAAAACCCCCATTCTGTTTCTATACTGATACATCCAATATAATTTCAGCTGACAGATTGGCCATTTACTGTACTTCAATTATGCATCCTTTTATAATTTTTCTTCTTCTCATCACAAAACTTGTTGAAATAAAAGTTAAATCTGAGGCTGAATGCATCTAGTATATAGTGTTTCATCATCTTGGTATTTCCAGGTTCAAATGGAAGTAACATCGTGGTTTGTACAGGATCAGCTTAAGGGGGACAATGTAACAGAACTACGAATAAAATTCATCAAAAGATTGGAGGATGCTATTCCAGCTGGAGAAGACTAAACCAAAACATTGCATTCCATTTAATTATTGTATTATTCACTGTATTGTATTAAAAAAACATATATATTATATTCATATTATGTGAACATGAATAGCTTTACTTAATCCTCCCATACCAATGCAAAGGCAGTAAAATTAAATTTTTATATTCAGTTCATGGTTATCTATACTTATCTCAATGCTAATGGCTATTCAGGAGTGAGTTGCTTTCTTTATTTCCCTAGTCAAACTTTGAGATGGTACCATCAAATGGACCATAACTGCCTTCCTCTTAATACTGGAACATCTCACCATTCAGGACTGGCACATATTCAATACACTGTAGTTCTGTAATATACAGCTGTTAGGAACTTGCAAGTCATTCTCAGCCCGTTTTGTCACTAAAACACAATCTGATGCTTAATTTTAACTGTTACAAAATATAAACTGGAAGCTTGCCATATTGGAAATTTTGACAAGATTATTTCATATAAAATATATTTAGAAAGATGCCACCAGCATTCATGCGCACAAAATTTGCTTTTGTTTTTGTGACTTTACTGTAATAAAGTAAAACATTTACATAAAATCCAAATATAGAATCTGTCAATTTTTTAAGTTCCTTTTAAGTGAATGCCACAGCAGTACTATTTAAGCTGCAACACTTCATTTTCATCCTCTGTATCTATGGAGGCTGCTCCTAAGACAAGCAAAACTTGCTTCCTGAACTGTGAAGCAAGGTACCATTGGTCCATCCCTATCCTGTCAGCTCAGATCTTCAAAACCTAGTCCTTTGGTGTTCATTTTAATATCACCACTCAACATACCACATACTTATATCTCCCACAAGATCTCTTCCCTTAAGACATTCTTTTAAAAAGCATTGTCTGCAGTTCTTGTTTCATCCAATCTACTTTCTTGAATTAATCACACCAGTGAAAAGTAAAAATTATAAACCTCCTAATTTTGTTTCCCAGCAGATTTTCCTATCAAAACTGAACAAATTTCTCAGTTTCTCTTACACATGCTAACTCTCTTGCCTGGCCCTTCTTGATTTAACCACCTTAACAACATTAGATGAAGGAATAAGTTATTTTCTTGTATAATTTCCCCCAATTCTATTACCAAGTGGTACCATACTTTCATAATTACTAAACATTTTCCTTGGAACTTTTTAACTTAGGCTCAAGTGGGAAAAGATGTAAGAGATATTTTTTGCATGACTTATGTTGTGGTAACAGTCTAGTACACAATTATAAAAATGAAAGAACAGTAGATTTATTATACTAACAGCTACAATACAATACACTGTTTGAATGCTTTAATATAATTACAAACTGTAATTAACTTTACAGCCAAGTTCTGTTGGTAGCCAGTCATTTAACATGTACGGTGATACTATATATTCCTCGCTACTGAAAGTGTCATTAAAAAAACCAATACAAAATAATAAAATGTATATAAGATGTGAGATTTTTGTGGCACTGAAAATGTGAATTGTGTTGCCATGTGGTCTTGCATTTTGAAGAAATCACCTTCAAGACTACACAGTTCAAGATATAGAATACTATACTCCGTGCTGGAAAGTGTAGGTAAGGGTTCTAAACATGAACTTGATTAAGTTCCCATTTATGCCACACACATCAAAGAAATTCAGACAAGGACTGGGATACCATGACAAGCATCTTGTAAATTTCTTCTCCGTGATCAATTCTTCAGACTACAATTTCTTAACTTTGATATCATAACGTTTCTCACCGCATCCATTAACTGATGCTATTATCAACAGTTGATACCATACCATTAAAAAGTCAATTATTTGTGTACTACAACACACTTTTCTACAGAAGTTATTCAACAGATATTCACTTTACCCTCTTATTCAATACAAATTAGTGTATGAAACGAGTACTCAACTGAAAAAAAATCCTTGTTCCTCTTACAGCAGTTTTCCTCCCAAAAGACATCAAATTTGTAATTGAAAGCAACCGTCCAAGAATGTACCAATGGATAAAGGAATTCCAAGTAGATCTCATACAGCCTACTTTCGTATAGCACAGATTTCTAATCATACAAATCTTGTGTTAGTGTCGTACTTACAAAGTAAGTTTATAACTTACCAATGAAGTTTAACTTAAGAGTTAGCGTTTTCTGTTTGTTTGCAGATGTTATATGATCAAATCCTATTTGGGTCATGTTTTCTTATTTACTGCTTACAATTGTAAATACTGGTATGATACAGAATGCTGCTCCTGTCATCATATGAATGCCTGCATATTCATGCACAGTTTACGTTTGTGCACGTAATTTTAATGGGAACAATTACAACAAAATGAGGCAACTTAAGTGGCTGTATGCCCAAATAAACATTTTCATTCTTTAACAATCACGTGCGAGATTTCTGGTGCTCATGGCGGTGAATATGAAGATGACTGTCTTCTGGAATATTGCACCATCCAGTCAGGCAAAAACTGACCAACATTTCAGAAGTGCTTACTCCATCCACCATGACTCATCACCCAAATAACAAGCAATAAGCTACCTCTGAAGCATCAGTAAACCTTTATGAGACTACATTGTTCAATATCCCACAGATAGTCATCTTCTTGAGCAATCATGAAACAGAATTGAGGCAGTATGAAAATAAAGAGTAAGCCCCTCTTACAGAGTCATAGAGGCATTTTGTTGCCACCACACTTATTAACAAAACAGAATTAGTTGTTGGTTATGTACTTCAGAATAATTAATATTCCCACCACAAAGTACCACATTTCATTGTCTTTCTAACAGAGATAAACTTTAGACAAGGACTGGATGTCAACCTAGCAAAGCAAACGGCAAGTACGTACTCGGGATACTGCTGGTAAGGAGCATTCTAGCTGCTCTTGGGCAACCGGCATGAAGGGTTAAAAAAGTTCCCTTCAAAGAATTAAGACTGCCCTTATTTACTGTTTGATTAAAAAGTTTCCAATGCAATATACAGTACTGGGAGGATCTTGGATGAAAAAATGTGATAGCATTTTGCCACCAGGATCTAACCCACAAAACAATTCATACTTGTCTAATTTCTGATGACTTTCTCTCTTCAGTATCTCCCTGTATTACAGTTTATTAAAACCTGCACCTCTTTTGAATTACTGGTTGCTTCCTCAATAAGATTTACACATAAATGAAAAAAGACATAAAAGAAGTTTGAGAGGAATGCACATGATTCTGCAAACAGATAACTTTATATGTTGATAAGGAGTGTGATGGGACAATGGTCACTTCCATAAACTTCACTTCGAATTACATTGTCACATAAATTTGGTATTAATTTCTGTGACAAGATGAAGTAATCCAACCGCCTGAAAATAAAACCACTGTCAGTACAAGCAATTTGACAATTTAAAAAAAGGTGTGTAACTCAAACAAACAACACAGTAACAGCAACAGAAGTGGTCAGTCAGTAGTAGCACATCACTTCAAGTGACAAACATTAGTACGAACAACAAGCCAATACTCACCTAACAGTTACATTTATTTAAATCTAAAATGACCTTAAACTTAAGAACCACTTGAAATCACAGTGATAAGAATGGACAATTATGGGACCATTTTATTCACAAATCATTTATAATCCTGCACATTTGTCTGTTTCCTGCAGCACCGAAGTTGTTGATTCATACTGCATTACTTGCGGTGGTATTTTAATATCTGCACCGATACTTTAGAACTGCTGCAGTCACACTATATAAAAACATACAGAAGTATATGCCACTCTTTTCTGATAACTGAATTCCTCTCAACAAGATGAGCCGGCGTAACTCAGTCAATATAGTGACTGGCTATGAACTGGACCACTCACCCTCATCTAACGCCGAGGTCAAGAATGAGTAGGAGTTATACCTTCCCCCCCCCCCCCCCCCCAAGCGCCTACATGGCGCATAGTGGGACAGCTTTACTTTTTTTATTCCTCTCAACAAGAATGGTATCATACTTTGATACTTTAACTTCATAAAACCTTAAGATAAAAATCTATTGCAAAAATATTTATATATTTATGAAAATCTGCACTAAAATGTACAAAATAATGCACAAACTATACTTAAATACACAATTTGCCTACTGTACAAAATTCACAAGAAAATGGTTTGAAATGGCAAACACTATAACTTACTCTGGAAAATGTTTCTGTAGTCATTTCTTACACATATAAGAATCACCCACCATACACCATCTTCATACCATTCAATGAAACCTTGGTCAACCAAGAAAAGCCATCTTTGAAGCATTTTTGATAGCACTATCACCACTAGTATTACCATTTATCATTACATTAAAATTCAACTGGTTTTCTCAATGACAAAATTACTATAATTAATTTGTATGAGGAAGCCACACAAATATTCCACCTGAAACTTACCATCCTGTATTTCTAGAACGAGCATTACCCATGTATGTCCAGTAAGTGTACGCTCCTGTCTTCTCTGGGTACAAGTGCCTGAACGAATCAACAAAACCTTCTTCAAGCAATGCTGTCAATCCATCTCGTTCCTCTTGAGTGAAGCCCGCATTTTTTGTATTTGTTTTTGGATTTGCAAGATCTGAACACAACATTCTGGATATTAAAATTCTATTTTAATTGTTATACACTTAAGTATGCAAAAAATACTTTATAAGTAAAACAATTCTCATAAATATCACATACATACTGCATAAAATTTGCAAGCTAGAACAAACTTTGTCACTTGCATCTGCAAATTTAATTTTCCAAAACAACACTGATAGTAAAAGCAAATAAATTATTGCAGACTGAACTGAAAGAACAAAAACAATTATGGCATGTCACCAGGAAAGGGCGAAAATTAAGGGAACTTTACGTACCAATAGGGTGGTGTGAAACATTCATATCCCCACACAAAATTACAGGTTTCTTCGCATCCAACTCTTTAACATACGTACGAAGATCTGGATCCCATTTCATTCTTTTGGGTAAGGTTACAAGTCCTCGGCCAGCATTAGGAACATCTGCAGAGCAAAATCATACACTATAATTACTGCTGTGATTGTCACACAATATCACCCTCTACATGCATATTCTTATAAAAATTTAATTTTTTAATTTTAATGTGCTAACCCAACAGCTATGGAAACAAATTACAGAGTCAACACAAGAATACAAAATAAATACAAAAAACAGAAAACGAATCTAAAACAAGTGAAAACAAACTTAACTAAATACTTGCACATATAATTAATCTAAACATTTTCATATATGGAGAAAGTGTCCTCAAAGGAGACAATGTTTTTGCCACAAATCTGCAAGTCATTTGCAGCAATAATGCACCTAGATGAAGGATTATGTCTTAATGCACAATTTACACTAAATGCAGGAAACTATTAAACATGTTAATAATAAATTAATTCATTTGAGTTTCTTGCCAATTATTTTCTGGAATTTAAATTCTTGTTTCATCCTTGATAGGGCAGGACTTTTCTGTATGCCACAACATCTACTCTAGGGAACACCCAGCCTCCTAGCCAATTGGTATCAGTTTTCCCTCCTCAGAGTGGTCAGGTCATGAAGTGAATTGCTCACCTCCACCTAGTACCAAGATTATAAATGCACGGAGCTGTTCTTCTATTCCTAGATACAACAGCATCACTTGCGTAGCTAAGGATCAACTTCTACTTTTACCTTAAATTGTTGTACAAATTGCAGCAATTTCTTTAGAATCTAGTATTATCAAATTAACATCTGGGTCACAGTCAACCCACGTGTTTAACCTATTTCATCATCAAGAGAGACAAGGGGTGATTTCACCAATTGACTTTTGTAAAATTCTCCATTATGTATCTAGAAAGTAGGATAAAGAACTAAATCTCCACTTTTGCAACTTGGATGTGACTTATGACAAAATTCGAACCCCATTACCAACAAGGGGCATTGCCCAAACATTGAAATTCACCAATCAAGCCTCCAAAATCTGATTTTGGGTTTGACATAACAAAAAAAGCATAAATACTCCCTGTACTTATACTGGATGCAATGTCTAAAAATCAAACAGCCAAGATCAAACCCATGTTTGGCTGCCTCAACATAAACTTCAATGAGATATCATCACTGTTGCCAAGACAAAAACACGTACCTTTACATACACTGTCCTGTCATCAAGTATTTCTAATGCAGAGCCATCTTTACGTGTACTTGTCAAAAAAAGTACATAAAATAACAAATACATACTCACATGCAGCAACCAAATAGAAGTTTTCATACTCTGCGGTAATGACACGGCCCTCAGTGTCAAATTCTTTTTTCCCCAGACCATAGGTTACTTTGATTGGTTCTTTCTTGGTGTAAAGACCCACACCAGCATAACCATCCTTTTCTCCTACAGTGTGTAAACATACATATTTTTAATAACTTGTAAATCAGTTTCACAACAAAAACTCTATTGATGTTAAATTCTATTGGTATAAACATACATTAAAATATACATTATTTACAATAGTCATTTCACCTATAACATGTTTTCACAATGCGAATTGACTATAACGCAACTAATTTATAAGAGAAACCAGTTTCTGTAATGCAGGTACATGTAAATAAAACGATAGAAATAAAGCAAATTCAGAAAGGTAAACGACTAATTTTTCATTGTTTTACAATTAAAATTATCATAAACACACTATGCAAAAGTAATGCATTCAAATTAATAACATGACTAACAAATATAGAAAAATTACAATCTGAACTTTATCCCTTACCCCTTAATTCCAAACGAACCAGCAGTTTCTTTAACAAGATTTTTCCATAACATGGTGTTTTCCAGGAGAAAAGGCTGTACTACACAAATGACTGACTTCACTGAGCAGTCCATCCTGACAGCCCGTCAATAAATTTATTACCCTTTACTGAATCGAAAGGTTCATTACCAATTATAAAAGAGCCAACCATTAACCGTCCCCAATCAACTGTATTTAGTCCACATTCCAAAACCCTATTTCTTTAAAATTAATCATAATATTGTCCTCACATCTACATCTAGGTCTCTAAAATGGTATCTTCTATCCAGATTTTCATATTAAATCCATAAGCACTTCTCATTGCTTCCATGCATGCTACATGTCCATTTCAGCTCATGTTCTTTTATTCCATCACCTAAATATTAGGTGAAGAGTACAAATTAGTGATGCAGAGCTGCTTATAATGTATGCTTCCCAACCTCATGTTGCTTTCAGTGTCTTAGGTCCAAATATTCTCCTCAGATACCTTCAATTCATGTTCTTCCTCTACAATAAGGAAACAAGTTTCATATGCATACAAAACAACAGGTAAAATTTATAATTTAAACTAAATGCCTTTAAATACTAGAGAGATATTATTATATTATATTTGTATATCATTTATTTCCTGTTATTTTAAATTAAAAATATAAACAAATTTGAACTAAAATGTATGGTTTTGGAGACTCTCTGTCTCACTTGACCACTGATCAAGATTAGTTCTACCCAAGAGGCTCCACAAAGTAAGTAATTTTCTCATGTGAAGATGAAGACAGAACCAGTTTCAGAAACACGTTACATTTTAGAAGTTTTAAATTGTTTACATACATGGTAATTTCATGAGACACTAAATAATGCCCAAATAAAATATAATAATAATACACTACTCTCACAGAACATTCAGATAACACAAGATAAAAAAAAATTCTAAACTGAATCTGAGTTTAATCTTCCTATAACTTTTATACAAATGTGCTGTATTGACATCTGCCTGCAGGGATTGAGGAAAACAACAATCTTATTCAAGACAGCCAGTCTCCAGGCTAAGATTTGAACCCAGGACCTCCTGAATATGAAACAGGAGTGCTAACCACTTTGCAACAATGTTCAATTATTCATGCTGCTTAAGTTCCTCATAAATGTTACTCCATGTATCATCACTTTAACCTCACTTTGGGAATGCACATTTAACCCAAGTAAAACATATTTACTGATACTAACTTATTTACTTTAATATGCTGTAACACAAAAATTAAGTATAATTTGCTCATTTCACTGTTCCAATTCCTCTTCAACAAACCTTGTGGCCAAAAAATAAAAGCCGCCATAATACAACCATAATCATTAATGGTAAAGATTGTCATATCCCATCACTAAGACTTGCAGGAGAGAGAATTTAAAAAGTTACAAATGATACAGTGATTAATATTTTGTCTTCCCGTCTGATTTCTAAGAACCTGAAAATTAAAGTATACAAAACAATAATTTTGCCTGTTGTTTTGTATGGGTGCAAAACATGGTCTCTCACTCAGAGGGAGGAACACAGATTGCAGGTTTTTGAGAATAGGGTGTTGGGGAGGATATTTTGGCCTAGGAGAGAAGACGATGGGACATGGAGAAAACTGCACGATGAGCTTCAAAATCTGTACTCCTCCCCCAGCATTGTCGAGAAGAATGAGACGGGTGGGGCATGTAGCGCGCATGGATGGGACAAGAGGTGTGCACCAGGTATTGGTTGGGAAGCCTGAGGGGAAGACACTGCTGGGGAGACCTCGACATAGATGAGAGGATAATGTCAGGCAGGATCTATGGGAGATAGTTGAAGTAGACTGGATTTTGTTGGCCCAGGACAGGGTCGGGTGGAGGGCTTTGGTTAATTCGGTGATGAACCTTCGGGTTCGGTAAGCCATCTAGTTAGTTATGATAAATTTATAAACGAAAATTATGATGGTAACACATACATACCAATATAGTAAAACTGGGTTTGAACATAACAAACTAAGACTGTGTTATCAAACCTCTCTCTCTTACACTATATTATACTGAAGCTGTTCAGCACTGTAAAGGATTAAAACTTTACCTGAAAGCCAATATGTGTGATAGCCGCCCACCTTCACTTCTGGAGGGAGTTTGCTCTCTGAACATTTAGTTTCTTGCAGGCAAAATACATCTGGATTTTCATGTTTTAAGAAATCAATACCATTTTTCTGGTGGGGAAAAAAGCGTATAATATATGACTGACTGCAATACACAAGCAATTTAAAATAAAAACAATAAAAAAATTAAATCCATAATAATGTACATTATGTTCATTTAAAAGGTCCTTGACTGGATACTAGGGCCAGGTATTGATCTTTTTGTAGTTCTACTGGCCTTTCTACATGAAATTACTGATACTGGTATTGCTTATGTAGTCACCTATTAGAAGTTCTATAAATTCCATGTCACCAAAGAATCTTACACTATGTTTATGAAACTGTGGGCACAGTCTGGACACCAAGCCACTGAGTAGAGACTAGAAAAATTATTTTCATAAAAGTGTTTAACACTGAAAAACAGTTGCCTAATTAAATTGAATATCCATTTCTTAAAAATCCATTAAAACGATTATAACTATAAAGATATTATTAAAATGTTGCAGGTTTCCAACCACAAAAAGTTGTCAGTGGAACCATGGTTCCGGAGAATTTGATGTAAATACGTCTATACAGAAAGGAAGTTTATATATTGGCTTTATTCTAAATATTTCCTTTATACATGCTTTACAACTGAGATAAGTTTGATTAAGACATTGGTTATTTAACTTGAATTAGTTATGCTTAAGATGGGTCTGTGGTAGCTGAATGTAATATAAAGTAAAGTAATGTAATGTTTTATAGGTAACAACAATACCGAGTAAACAGATGACGTTTCCTAGGTAACAAAATGCTTGAATGCTTAACTTGAATTAGTTACGCTTAAGATGGGTCTGTGGTAGATGAATGTAATGTAATGTAAAGTTAGTTAGTTGCCTAGGTAACCATTGTTACACTTTTTTGCCGAATGACCCTTCCTTATAGACGTATTTACGTCAAAAAAAGAGTATTCCTCTCAACAGTCTTTCAAAACACAAGTGACCCCTCTCAATGATTGTCTAATTTCCCCACTTAACATTTGGACAACTTACACTCACCTAAAGATCGCCATGTTCTGTGTTGTAGCGCCGTGTAATCTGGTAGAAGTTTACTGGTGCAACAACCCAGAAGACAGCAATCTTCAGACTCACCACTGTGAAAACCTCAAATCTTACACTCACCTATTGAATATGGAAACATTTCAGAAGATGGAAAAGAAAACTAGACCAAGCCATAGAAACGAGGGCTAAGAAATCAACGCATCAAACACTTTTCAACACCAAACGAGATGCTAATATTTTATATACATTTCTTTTCTGGAAATCAGTTCAGTGTTGGCAATTTTACCATGTAGGTTTGAAATTATGTTATGAGTATCAGTTGTCAATTAGCTATGTGTAAGCAAGGGACATAACTTGGCTGTTGGTGGCAGGAAACAGATGAAATGTACCTAATAGTTGTAGTAAGCAAGCAAACCAGAAATAAAATCATGAAGCAGAGCTGGTATCTGTTAATGAGAAGTCAAAATTAGGATTCAAATAATACAGTGACTCACAGTAAATTATAAATTCCAATGTAAATAAACAGTTACACACTCAGTGTTATGCTTGTAGTGTTAATCAGTGACGCTATAAAAGCATCAAAGTTACTTTAAAATTTTAGAAATAAAACACACTGTTACTCTAAGAACAAATAGGCTTTTTTAAATGAACATGTAAGTACAGTAATAAAATTAAATTGATGTCCAAGGCGTGGAAAAGGATGAATATGCAGACTACCCACTTAATATGCTGCAGGCCTCAGATATCGCACAACAATGATAAAAATCAACTCTTACCATGTATTTACAGTTATTGCAGCAGAAACATGCTACTGCTAAATAGCCTTTCATTATTTATCTAGTATAACACATCATTTTTGGTTAAATCAAAGAAAACTGTGATAAGGTAACCTGGTAAATAAATAACACAAAGTGAAATGTCAGGTACTCAAACTGGCAAGTATGAAGAAGGCTGTCTTCTGGGATGTTGTTGATGATGATGATGATGATGGGGGCACCAAGCACCTCTGAAATGTCAGTAAACTTCTACCAGACAACACTGCCCAACAACCCAGAAGACAGTCATCTTCAACTCAAATGTAGGAATTTCATGGCTCTTTTAATACATGACACACTCCATAACATAAAGTATTCCTTTTCCATTATAAATAAAGTAAAAATATACTATCGATCTACCCAATAAATTATAGTTTTTCAATTTTGTTGGATCCTTAAGACCTCTACTATTTTTTGATTCTTTTCTACTATGATATGTCTACCTTACAAGAATTAATGTTATTCCTACTGAAAACTTATTTAAAACTCTCACCTTAACCCATGCTTTTAGACCACCAACATTCCAAGAAGAAATCTTCAAGTTCCAACGTTCACCATCAGAAGTTGTCTTATCATTAGAAAAGTCAAGAGATTCATAATCACTGTGTGTCTTATTTAAAAGTGGTTTGTAAACCCTAGGTTTCTTAGCTGGAGGTGGTTTATCTTTCTTCGTTTTTGATTCTGATTCATCTTCTGAAATACTTTCATCAGTATCATGTATATCTTCACTGTCTTGGTTGCTGGACCATTTCTTGCTACCAGACGGATTCTTTACTTTTGCTACGAATTCACCTCCAGATGTGACTTCGTTATCATCTGATATGTCTGAATCTTCATCGTGCTTTTCTTTCTTACTAAGCTTTACTCCTCCTTCTGGACGTACATCATCATCTGACAGATCTTCATCTTTGTAAGTTACAACTTTATTTATATTTCTCTTACTTTGACGGCTTGGAGCTTTTAATTCTTCAGTTTCATTTTCATCAGAACTTTTGCCTTCATTTCTTACAGGTACACCTTTGTTTTTTCTTTTACCATCCCCTGAGGATGCCTGAAACAGAAGAAGGTGCAATTACAAGTCTCCATTATTATTCAATGCGAAACTGATTTAGCTTGGAAGATGCATGTGTACACGAATTAGATCGCGTCTACGGATAAAATACTCAATTTACAGTTACACATCGAATTATAACTTCTAGAGGGAGCAGTTATCACTCCTTTAATTTCCAAGCCAATGCATTACCTTCGTAGCACCACCATTTCGTTTCCCTTTCGGTGGCATTATGTACCACAAACCTCTTGTAAATGAATCTGTGTACGTGAAAGATATTTTATCACAGTAAAAAAATGTAGTGAAATTTCTGTAAGATAACCGGTTAATGTAGTTATAATATACTTTTACGGATATAATGTTCCTAAATAAGTCACCATCACTGAACACCTCGTGCTTTGCAAGATTTCTCAATTTTATTTTATGACCGAACACCAACTTCAACACTTTCGCGCGAAAAACAGCCATGTGCAAGGCACAAAAGTAAAGGTATTTTATTTTTCAATTGTTGGCATCATTTGTGAGCCCAGTACTCAACAATTTTCACAATTTATTAAATACACGATGTACAAATTCATTCAAAATTTATGGAAGTATAGAAAAAGTTTATAGTTTAATGAATAGGGTAACGGTTTAAAAAAACACATTTTGATGCTGGTCTGATGGCTTGTGACGCCATATAAAAGGTCTTCTCTGCCAAGCGGCTAGCATAGCGGTTAAAATCGCTACGTGAAACATCTGAACGCACCAGGAGAAAGTGGAACTGATATAACTAAAAAAAGGGGGAAAGAAACAAGACTAAAGATAAAAAAGTATAGCTATCTCAGCTACGTTAGTCGGGTTCGGTCAGTTAGTTATAGAAGAAGTAGTACCGAGTTACTGATCCATATACTTTATAGGCAACACACAGGTATACACCATGGTTGTCAAAATATATATTTCAGGCATTTCTGGAAATAAGGAGGTGAGAACTATAATATACACTTGTATGAATTATTGATAAATGTAACATGCATCGCAAAATCAGTTGTCATTAACATGAAAATGTGTGATGGGTAGGGCAACAGCTGAGTCACAAATTTACGAATAGATTTTGTCTCTGTGTGGAGTACAGCTAGTTTCATAACTGTGTAGAGTGCTGTAATTGTATGAAATAGTTTGTTGATCATGGGACACATAAGGAACATTTCCTTTTTTATGACTACCAAAAGCACCTACCCATCTTCCACATTTTTTCTTAAAATGTTCATAAATTATGAACCAGCCTATTTATTATGAATAGAATAGAATTTATTTACATTCCATAGATCCTTCATGGGCCCAAGCCAAGGTTGTAGAAATGTCATAGCACAAATACAATACTTGTTTCTAATACAAATATAAATTACATTGTTATGACAGTTATATATCTATTTTCTTGTTTGCCAGTGTTAATTATCACAGTGGTGTTCAATATTAATTAAGTTATGCATTAAATAATTGTCAAATATGACTACTGTATATAGATTTCATTTGCACTAGAAAACCTGTTCTCTTCACTATGTGTTATTAAAATGATCAAATCAAGAAGGGTGTAATGGGTAAGACAAAACGCATGCATGGAACTGATTAGAAATACACACAAAATTTGAATCAGAAAACCTAAAGAGAAGAAACCACTTGGGAGACATGTGAAAATAGGATGATATTTTTAGATTTTAGTCTTAAACTTATATATTCATCAGAGCAGATTGAAAAGTTATAGGCAACAGAAATTTTATGTGTATAGGAGATTACAGGTCTATTTCTTGAGACCTGATGTAAGTGGATGAAGTTAGTAATTTAGAAAAAGGTTCGTTAAGATCATTCTGTCTGCACTTCCAGGTTCTTATTGTTCAGATCTGTAACTAATTACAGTGAAAGTCACTTTTACTTTCATTGTTTACTTGCAGTGCTTACAATGCAGAACAGCATGGGAAGTAATAACTTTTATTATACAGACTCACCTTAAACAAAATGTGGACTTGTATTGTTACACCACGGCACCATACATACAATAAGAGAAAGTATTGTCATTTTCACACATTTCAAATAGTTGCAAAATGGACAGTTACATGAAATAGGAATCTGTCATTCTGAATGAATGTGTTCAACATAACCTCTGCAGTTGTTGCAGTATTCTTAAATAACTAAAAAATTTAGAATGTTTAAAATCATTAACATTACTATTTTTATATGTGTGATGGCATTTAGGATTTATCTTAATTTTTCCACAGGTGAAGAAACACCAGCAGAGAGTACTCATGATATTAGACAGCAAGAACATTGAATATGTTGCAGTTGACATTACAGAACCTGGCAAAGAAAATGAGAAAGAATTTATGCAGCAAAATAGCAATGCGAAGGAAGCAAAACATCCTTTGCCACCACAGATATTTAATGGAGAGGAATACTGTGGGGTACGTTTAACATTCGTATACACAGCATTTCTTTAGTTAAATGGTTCAGAACCCTGATAATGGGGCTGATCACCTGAGAAAATTTTATTGTGCACATTTATTTATTTATATCAATATATTTACTTCTATTTCTTTATACCACTGCTCAGGTGTGATGGTTAAACTATATTGTCTCATTGTTAATGGATCTGTTTCTTTGTTTATTATAAAGTAAAGTAAAGTAAAGTTTGTCCCGCTACGTACCATACAGGCGCTTGGGTGAGGTATAACTCTTCTCTTTCTTGACCTCGGCTCTAGATTGTAGAGGAGGCTGGGTGGGCCCCAGAGCCGGTCTGGATGCAGAGGCTAGAGGAAAAATCCTCTACCCCCGTTCGGGATCGAACCCCGGCCGTTCAGCCCGTTGCTAGTCACTATACTGACAGCTATCCAGGCTGTTTGTTTATTATAAGTGGTCAAAAATTGTGTTTCTGAGGTTTCACATTCTCACAGCGGTAAATAATGGCTTCTGGATTATGATGCCATGTAGTTTCGAAGGTGATTACCAACATTTCAGAGGAATATATCACCTATGTCTTCACGGTACAGATATTCCAGCTTAAAAATTTAGAATTGTGACAACAAGACTCATTCAGATTGTTGAAAAATTTGCAATTTTTTATGGAACGTTGAAGTTCATAACTATGTTCAGTAGTCCCTATCTTGAACCAGATGAAACCAGTCATACCTTCACACCCTGTTTCTCACATATCCATTTTAATATCTTTCCTTTCAAAATAAAGTCTTTGAAGCGTTATATTTCCTTCAGAATTCCAACTGAAATTTTATATGCATTTTTTGTCTCCAGTATATGCTACATCTACCACCCATCTCATAATAACCTTAATACTATTTGATGTAGTTTACAAATTATTCATGTTTTGAAAAATTACTGTTTTCCTCGAAAAGTAATGTTTTTGTTATATGATTGATTCATTAAATAATCTGTGGATTAGTGGTTAATTGTTAAAAATATTGTTTTGGCAGCCTTGATATAAATGACTGTATCCTCAACATTTATACGATTACAATTATTTTAATTGGTCGAACAGGATTATGAAGAATTTGATTTAGCAAATGAAATTGATGAACTGGATAAATTCCTGAAACTCTCAGCAAGTGTTTCAACAGCTGAAATAACATTGGGAACAACAGCAGATAGTAAGGCCCCTGTTGAAAATGGAGAATTAAACGGAATTTCTTCCAGTAGGGAGGTGAGTGTTGGTAATCTTGCTTCTTTTAAATTATTTATTTTGAGTTACTTAAATGTATGTAGTTCTGTATTTAACTAAATGTAAATTAACCATTGTAACAGAATTCAGCTGAGAAAGAGAAGGAAGTGGTAGTAGAAGAATCAAAGACTGAAGAGGAAGCTACCGGGGAAGAATAAGAGTGGTAATTATTCACTTAATTTCTTTATTACGGTTATATGATATTTTGTATGTTACCTAGGCAGTAGGGGGTCTGCAGTGGCCGCGCGGTCTGAGGCGTGGGCCTTGTGCCGCTTGGTCGCTGGGACTGTGGGGTCGAATCCCACTTAAGCCATGGATATTTGTCCGTGTTTTTCTGTGTTGTTCTGTCCTGTGTACAGGTAGAGGCCTTGCGACGGGCCGATCCCTCGTCCAAGGAGTCCTATCGAATGTCTACAGATCGAGCCAACGAAAAGTTGGGACCCGCATTGCTCAGGCACTTGAAGAACGGGTCGTTCCCAGTATCCCAGTCCCTAGGCAGTAAGGATTATGAGCATCGTTAATTTTGTGTTTTTCATTTGCAGTGGAAACATTTTCCAGAACAAGTGCTATGCGCAACCACCGTGTTACTGCCATCTTCTTGGGCAAATGCATCTTCCCATGTGCATCTGGCCTATTCTGGTGTTTATTTTGGTTGTTTTTGGTATTGCCTGTTTTTTGTACCTACAGATCAAAGCCTCTTGTGGTGATACGCATGATCACCTTGTCCAAGGACATTAAAATGATATTTTGCGTGTCAAAAATGTAATAACTGATGATAAAAAAATATTAAAATTTAATACAGATAACATGATCAATGAAAACTTAAATTTCATTTATATTTTAATGTGATATCCTTTTTTAACACAACCACAAGTCTGAGATCTAAAAAGCCTCAAATGTATATGTATAGGTACAGTTCATTGTAACTACAGGTGTCACAAACAGATTTATACACATTATAATATGGAATATATATCTGTGTATACATCTTTTTGGGGACATTCTGTGTATTTACCAAGTATGTACGAAGTTATGTAACTTCAGAATGACATTTTTTAAGCATTTGAAATGGTATACTGAATGTCATAATCATTCATCGATGTGTACATGACTTTCATAGATCGGTTATTACATTGAAACAAAGGGTTGTGGTGAAGACTAGTTCTGGTTAATAAAATTTGTTACTTTGCATACATCATTTGCATGCAAAGGAACATTCTTTGTATATTATGGTGTATGTATCCTTTCTTAATTGAGCTTTCTGTCTGTATTATGAAGTATCTTATTAATTTTGTTTATTAATACAAAATTAACATCTCTGTACTCGAAGTATAATAATTTGTCTGCTGTTTTTCACTTTGTGGAATACTTGCTCATAACAGTTAAAACAGCAACAAAAAAATATATATTACTTCAGTGGCTTTTAAACTTTTTGACACTTACACAATATTATTATTTACATCTTCATTATTGAGTCATTAATCAACCATCACAGAGTGTTTCAACTAAGTACTCAGTAGTAACATAAAGCATAAAATAATTACAGTGCATCTTTGGAGTTACACAGTTTCAGACTTATATGCCTGAGGTAAGGACGTAAATTTTCACATCTCTTCAAATCTTGGCTGTTCCAAAAATAAAAATAGACACACAAATAAAGGCGAGCCACTAAAAGATTAAATGAAGGGAATTTAAGATGCTACAGCATAAACGTAACTCCACAAGAGCACATCACATTGACAGTAGGAGAGTTTGAACCAGAGTGAAGCCACTTATGGGGGGGGGGGGCATA